GAGAGAAAAATGTGGCAGACTGGAGAGAAGGTAAAAGAGAAAGGGAAGGGGTGGGAGAATAAAAGGAGAAAAGCAAGGTAGAGAGAGTCATTGGGCAAAAGCACTGGAAAAAAGAGGATCAGAGAGACAGAGAGAGGGCAAAAGGCTGTGGGTACGTTAGAAAGTGTGCATGCAGGATCAAACAGGAGGTGTTCTGTGAAATCTCAGGGAGAGCAACATGCCCGTTTCCCCTCCCCACTACCCCTCGGCTGGAGATCAGAAAGAGAGGAAACCTGCCACAGATCCACGGGACCAGTCATCCCACTGGTTCCCTGATGCAAGAACACTGCAAACCCACCCTTACATGTGTCTTAAAACGAAAGGACGGGCAAGTTTTGCATGCTAAGGTGGTCACGGCGAAGTGCCTGTAGCGCGCAGTTTACCATTTTTGTGCTCTTTCATCTTTCCTTGTTTCTGCTTTTCCTTTGGTCTCTTCCAGGTTGTGTGCTGTGATTAAGGCTGTAAACCTGGATGGTTTTAAGCTTTTGTTGCATAGTAAGAATACCAAAGTGTGGCCCAAACCCCATACGCAATGCCAACCACAGTAAACATCAAAACACACACCACTTTAAGATATGAAATGACATTTATGAATGACATTTATGAATGTCATTTCAGTAAGCTATATAAGTAGTAACAATTGAACTACTCGAAGCTTTGTATCACAGTAAGTACACTTTGAAGGGCAGTTATAATCGAGCTACAGTCATCATCTGACAATTAATGCCAAAGTCAAGGTACAGTCACATAATCTCGGGTCTGTGAGTTGAAATTTTCAGTCTGACTAAAGCATTTAATTGACATTTTAAAAAGATTAATTATTGCTTTAGTCCAGCTGAATAAAACCTGTAAAGTACATGTAAACATACTTGCTGATTGTATCATAAGAAAGAATATGTAAGAACAAAAAATAAAATAGGCCTACAAGAAAACATTTTTATCCATCCATCTCACAGCCTTTTAAATCGATTCGCTGATTGTGTCTTTATTTATTATTATTTGATATTATGTCCATTAAACCTAAATAAAATGAAATATATAGCCTAATATGTTTCCGTAAAATGAACACCCCGTAAAATTCCTGTGCTCCAGAAATAAAGTTATATAATCAAAGCTTTATTGGCATGACCTTAGGGCATTTAGAGTAGGATTATGGTACTGTAAGTAGGCTATTAAGATATTAAATTAAGATAGCCTACATATCAGTGAATTGGTGTAGACAAGGTTACAAACCTGTATGTTTATTCACTCATGCCTTGGTCAGTGGAGGAGACTGCATATTTGCTAAAAAAAAAAAAAAACTCTTCTGACAAATATGTCAGCTTTCTTTTTAGATGTGTCATTAATGCAAAAACAACAATTATAGTCACGGTAGCTCCGGTGGCATTACTGCAAAGTTTTGAATATGCCGTTTGAAGTCGGAATACATGTAATCCACATGTAAACAAATATGTGAATCGGATTGCAACATTTAGGGTTCATAAACAGAACTTTCAGAATCTGAAATCAGATTGGATTTATTCCGAATGATGAAAATTAGTGCATGTAAACATACCTAATGTAGCATATTAATTACCTGATTTGTAGGTTGTGTATGAGCGTTTTAAAAAGACTTCAAATGTGGCTCATCCAATCAGAACTTAAGAGTCATAACTTTATAAAAGATACTTCTTTAATTTAACATTTTCCAAATGAAAGCAAGAAGGGCAGGATTGGATCATGAAATATTAAGGTGTGATACTATTGGTTATTTTTCCCTGCCAACTTGAAGAAAGGTAAAGCTATTATGCTGTTTTGATGAAATCGTCAGAGAAATGTCTTTAAAAATGTGTACTGATCAATCATGCACAATAAGAACAGATACATTTAGGAAAGTTTTGATTCCATGTCGTCTTTAACATGCTCACATCTACCATGGATCAATGCTTTCTTTTCCACTTTTGAGAACTTCACAACTCCAGAAAGATTAGAAAAATAAATCTGCATTTATAAACAAGTGATTGGCTATTCTACAATTTTAAAAAGAATAATTGGAAGAAATAAGTGAAAAACTGTTTTCACACCTGCCTACAAGAATATCACACGCACACATTTCTACCCTCCCAACGCCTCACCTTTCAGACACCATCTGTAGCACACACATCTCTGTAGCACACACATCTCTCTAGCACAAACACAGACAGTAGCGCCATTTAACACACATGCACACGATCCTACGCATATCCTATCCCTCGCACGCGCACACACACACACGTTGCGCCTCTAACGCACACACTTGATTATTCTCCAAGTTCACCACACACTTTTTCTCCCACACACTTTAGCCCTCACACACACACACACACACAAACAGGACTGCAGGACTCTAATATGTTTGTTCCAGAGGGGAGAGTTGATCTATTCCGCTTGGTGAGATATAAAGCCTCTTTCCTCCTCCAGTAAACGCCCTCTTTTACACTATTCCAGACCTCTTTGATGTATTGACCATGTCGGCTCCTGCTTATTGGGAGTTTTTTTTTTAAGCCTACGTTTGTGCGGCACACTCTTTGGTGGGGTCAGTGCTGTGTTTTCGTGCGGAGAGAACTGTCAGTTATGTTGTGCCTGTGGAGCCTTACAGAGCTCTTTTTAATGAGTGCATTAAAGCTGCATAGATGTTCAAGGCCAGTGGAGGTACGTCCCCTGGGCCCCGGCGTCTGCCTCAGGGCTGCCATCTGTAGATCTCTTGCACATTTAAGGGTCTCCACTACTTTTCTCTTCATTTTCTCTGTCTCTGGAAGATGAAGTAGTTTGGAGCTGTGGCGAGAATGAATCCAAAGTGGAGAGAAAGGTAACATGGCAGACAGAGTGTGCAGATCAGATGTTCTCAACCTTCCGCAACCTTTTTTTTTTTTTGTAGGATCCAAAATATGTGTGAATAGGGATGGGAACCATACATAATTTAGCGATTCTGATGCTTCTCAATGATTCTGCTTCCATTAACGATAAATATTTGTAAAGAAATAAGACATGCAATTTGAATTATGTAGTTTTCACTTTTTAGAGGTGTTGTAATGCAGTTCAATAATTGACCTTAACTTTAGGATACAACTGTGCTAAAGGCAGACTGGAGTAAACGGCACATTTGATTTTATTCGCATCTAAACTGGTTGCACTTTATTTTACAGTACGCACACTTGTGTGTACTTACAGTATACTTACCTAAGAAAGTACTGGTTAATATAAGGTAACTACATGGGTTAATGTTAGGTTTAGGGGGAGGTTCCGGGTTAGGATCTAGTTATTACCCAGTTGTTGTAATAACAATAATAAGTGCATATGTACATGTGGAACAGGACTGTAAAATAAAGTGCTACCTCTAAACCACACGACTCGACAGCACTGTTTCATACAGATCCGTGTTTCACTATGAACGTGGAAATATATCAATTTTGAAAGTGGAAATGTGTCCATTATTGTGCCTTATAGCCCTAACAATAATTGGCATTATAATAAATAGTGATTTGTCTTTTCCATTTTCCATATTTAGATTTAGATGATCAATATCATTTTAAGTTAGGTGTCCCCCTTAGAGATAATTATAAATATTATATATTTTTTAAATGTATAAATTTTATATTAATCAAATAATAAAGTATCATACTTATTGTTACTAGTGTAAAGCAATTTAAAATTATTATGGGATCTCCTTCAAACAGTCTAAACAGATATTTTTCCTGTATTTTTAAAATGATCATATTTTAATGGCCGTGTATTTATTGAATAAAAACAAATGATTTTATCCAAATAAATTGAAAATACAAACAAAAATCTGAAATATTATCTTTATCTCTTAAATGCATGAATGTTTCGCCAATCATTATTACATATTCGGGTCTTTAGCGACCCAAATCTATCTCTACCTGTCGTGATAATATAAAACTCTCCTGATATAAGAGAAACAATTACAGAAGAATAAAATAAAGACTGTGAGGTTGAGAACTTCTGGTGTGAAAGCACAGGGGTGAGGAACATGTACACGGAGCGAACAGCTCCTGAGAAAGAGCACATGTGGTTGGTGGATTACAGGGTGTGTGTGTGTGTGTGTGTTAATGTAGCTCTGTGTGTGGCTCTGTCACTGGGAATGAGGTCACTGGGTCTCGGCCCTATTTAATTAATTAGGGAACAGTGGAATGGAAAATGAATAGCAATCAGAGGCTCACTAATTTCAGACCTGCCAATCAATAAGCCTTAGCACTGAATTTTCGTTCAGGGGCCTTGGTGGGTCTCATTTAGCATTGAAATAGGATACCAAATGCAGGCGTGCCTGTATGTGTATAAGTACATAAATATTCAAGACATGTATATCAGGGGTTTGCAGTCCAAGGGTCGTAAATGCAGTGAAAAGTTAATTGCACTTTCACCCTTCCATTTCTGTATGGGCATAAACTGATGAGTTCATTGAAATTAACAAATTTAGGTAATACAAAGAAGGAGATTGGTTTAATTAACAGAAACTCAAAATATTATTTTATCTGAACCACATCATTTATATAAGTTGATTTGACAAAAGAAAAAAGTTGTGATGACATATCATGAATTTTTTTTTTTTTATAGAGTAGCAACCGCCAATCGACATATCAACACTTTGAAGAAACCATTTCCATTCACATCAACCCAGACGAATCTGACCCACAGTGGCCACTGAAGAAACCCCAGTGTGCAGTACATAACAACAGCACTGTGCATAGCAACAACTGTCTCTCACATAGCAACCACACCACAGTGCATAGCAACCACTGGCAGCTCTTTGTGTATTCCCTGTTAGTTGCTTGCATTTGACGCTAGGTGAACTGCAGTGTCTCTGTGACTCACCCAGTAGAGATGAACTCAAGCGTATCAAAACAAGTTTTGATTTGTTGTTCTTTAAAATAATTGACTGTGATCATTAAAGACTGACTTTTTTGTGTGCCTTCCTCTTGCAGATATTCGCTCATTGCCTGACGTTGCCATGACGGGAAACTGCAGCCAGGAGTGCAGCGAGCTTGGTCACTCAGATGCCTGTTGGATGCCCGGTCAGCCTTCGCCCGTCCGCAAGACACGCAACCCCCCTAAACTGTCCACGTTTGTGCCTTATCAGGAGAGGGGGAGCCTGGGACGCCTGGCCAATGGGAGCGTGAGGTTGGGAGGAGAGGAGCACAGGCCACGCCTCCCACCTTCCCGTAGTGCCTACTCCAGTAGTGACCACACCCCCAGTGACCACGCCCCACTAGAGGAGGTGCCTCTGAGGGTGACATCAGAGTTCCCGCCTACCAGCCCCCCCTCCAATCACGCTTCGAAAAGAGAGATATACCTGTGAGATAACCACACCCACCATCTGTGATTGACACACATCAGAAGTTACAGAGACACGGTTGCGAAAAGAGAACATCGGATCTGCGACAGGATAAAATATCAATTGAATAGTGGAAAAATACGCTATTGTCATCAGAGTAGATTTATTTATTTTATTTATTTATTCATTCATGCATCTATTTATTATCACTTTTAACACGTTATTTCTTTTGTAACTCTTTGTGCTGTTTTTTTTTTTGTTTTTTTTTGCATACCATTAAAAACAACCGATAAATACTTTTACGTGACTAACCGACTTTTAGCTTCGCTAGCCTACGGAATGTTCATGGGTTCTTTTACTAGATTACCAAGTGCTGTAGTGGGCAGGAGATACTGCTGTAAAAGGATCTTGAGCCACATAGAGTGTCTAACACTCTTTACTTGATCCTGTCCTCAGAGGAGAGCAGTCTTTATACATGTAAAACGCTGTAAATACATTTGTATGGTGTATATATGAATATTACTATCCGGCTTGAGTTGAAAAATAGTACAAATAAATCAAATAAAAAAGGTCAAAAGTTACATCTAAATCAGCCTGAACACCTGAAGTGTGTGTTATACTGCTGCTTTTGAGGGTCTGAACGTTTGTAATGGCCAGATGATTAGACGAGCTGGATTGGAAGATTTCCTGACGGTATGCCCGTCTAGGACCCAGATCCTCACCTGCGGTGCTGTGTGTCCATGTGCACACTGAAACCGGTGTATAGTCTGTGTGTAAGTGTGTGTGTGGCGAGGGAGGGCGGTGGGTTTAACAGCGATTAACTCGCTATGACAGACCTTAGCATATGCCGGTGTGTGCGTTAGTGCGTCAGGGGACCTACTGTCACGAAAAGTAACACATGTGGCTTCTGGCACATTAACACGCTATTCAACAGATGAGAATCCGCGTGCATACTTTTGTGTCATGTGGCAGAACTTGTGTTTTTTTGGCACTGTGAATTTCCCCTGAACTCCCACGGTGTAGTGCAAACGCTGCCTGGCACTCGCAGAGACGCCTACGGCTCACACAGCACAGCCTCAGTGAGGAGGAGACCACCTGCCTCCCCTCAAATTATCAGTATCGTTTCGTTAACTCAATGGTATGTGAAGTCCACAGACGCGCCTCATCTCCATCAAATTGCATATTCACAGTCCTTGGTTTACATAGATTTTACTGTTTTAAATGAAACCTTTGTGTCCTATTTAGACTTTGTTTGATGAACAAATGTATTAATGCCTTAAAACAGTTGTATATAACAATCACAATGGACAAATTAGACTGATAATCCTGTCTTGTCTTTCGCATGTCAATTGTGCATGTTTTTTTTTCCACAATCAAAAAAAAAAAGACAAATGTTACAAACGATCATATCACCATATTTTCTGCCACTTTTTTTTTTTTTTGTCTTTTTCTGTCCTCCATCATTTGGGTATTTCTTCGGGTTGGTTGCTTTTTAGTTTTTTTTTTTCTTTCTTTGACACTGTGCTGACTATCTAACCTGCTCTAAAGCTGTGTCTCCCTCCATGTTTGAGAGAATCTCTGGGGGACCATTTTGACAATGACTATCTATTGTGCTCAAGGACCATATATCTGATGGACATTATCATTACTACTGCATCACAGTGCATCGCCTTGACATTGCCTGCCCAGATCCCGGTGCTTGGGCGAGCGCATGTGTCTGCCGGGAGGGTTGAAGAGGTGTACTGCAATGGGAATTTCCTTAATTAGGGTGAGTAATGAGTGTAGTGCAGTTGGCATATGCGAATACTCCAGCCCCCCAAAGGAAGCACAGATCACGGAAAAGATCCCAGTCCAAACGCTTCAATTGTTTAAGCGAGTCGCATTTTTTCACTGCACTTACCTCATCGCGAATGCCTTCAGCACCTCTCGCCGAATAATTAAGGCTGAAACGTATGGAAATTACTGGACGTAGCCATGATTAAATAAGGCGAATGATTATCCCGCCCTAAGGAAAGAAAGCACATTATGCTGTTTTCGAAGCCATTTAGTGACTCTGATAGGGGTGGGGAAAAAAATCCAACGAGAGTCATGATCTAGCGTAATTAGCCCAGCTTCGCTTTCCCTCCTCTCCACTGCAAACCACGCTCTGCCCAGGCGAACGTGTGAGATCGCTGACCTGGACTTAACACGGCTAAAAGATAGAGATGACCACAAAACTCTACCGCCACTTAAAGGCTTTCATCTATTCAAACTCTGAGTGAAGCAGGCTTTGACCTTCCTCCACTCCGATGCCAGCCTGAGTCAGATAGTCTGAATTGCAGGTTTCGACTCTGGCTTTTTTTTGTTATTCCTAGTAATTCTAAGGCTAGTCTCCTAGAATCCTTCCGGCCAAAATGCCGGAGGACGGACGGAGGAATGTCCACTTCTCGTGGTTGTTTTTTAAACTGGTGTTTAGATTTGTGCTCTTTCGCTGTTAGATGTCTGGATGTGACGAGACGACCGTAACGAACGAGGGAGTCTTTTCTTCGTCCTTAGAGCGAGACTTTTCTTCATAGAATAACGAAAACTGGTGTTTGTGGTAAACATCTCTTAGAAAGCGTTCTGTACATAGCTCTCCACATCCCCCCCGTGCGTGGTGTCAAGCAGACGACGAGTTGAGCATGAATTCCAAAGATAATTGGTAGAAACCGTTTACTGTTCTTGCTGAAATGTTAGTGCCGGTTCAAAAGAGAACAAAAGCGACGTTCACTGCACAAAACTCATCTTCACCGTTCACCCCAAACTGAAGACAGCTGCCTTGAAAGTATGTCTTTTGCAGGAGAGTTCAAAACTTGTTATCCTTAACTGTTGGTTATATTTATATAGGAATAAAAATGCTTGTGATGATCTGTTTTTGTACAGTTTTATGTACATGCAAGTGAAGCTTTTTAAATCTTACAACAAAAGCCGATGGCATATAAAAATCGTAAAGTGTTTATTGAGATGTGCACATCTTGCCTTGGATGGATCGATCTTTTTTGCCGAGTCAGTGTGAATGTGGCCGTCGTATGCCTGCACCGTAGTCATTCACTGGCTCCTGTCACCGAGGGCTTTATCAGATTTTATGTTTATTGTGAACAGTGGATTGTCCGATCCGACTTGTTTGTTTGATTCCCATGTGTTTCGTTTCGTTCCGTTTCCGCATGTTGAAAACAAACCCCTTGTAATAAGTCCTTGCAAAGTTTGTAATAAAATGAGTGAAGAAAAAAAAAACAAAGAAATACATTTGCTTGGTGAGTCATTGTTTAAGAATGAATCTAGGGACTGTGATCTCTCCATAAAGCTTTTTCATTAATAAAGCAAATTGATCTGACAAAGATATAAGACTCTTTTTTTTTCTTTCTCTGGGTCTCTTCGCCCGTGTAAACAGAGAAAGAGGAAAAGGTTACAGTTCTGCCAGACTGACAGGAACTTAATAGAACAGAATAGCGAATGTGAGATCTAGTAATGTGAAGCTCTCACTTCACAAAAAGCTGTCCATCAATATTAATGATAAAAAAAACGCAAGACCCTGAATTTTCTCAGTCTCTGAAACCTAATTCTCTCCTCTACAAGGAGTTAAACCGTTACACCCAAGACCTCCCAGTACTCGACAGCACAATAAAGACGAAGCCATAAAGATGATAACGCTGAGATGAAAGACAATAAATCAATCCGGCTTTCATTTGGCGCACTGTCTTTATAGATATGCCACGACGTAATTCGCGCATCTCTGAAATGATAGCTTTCACAGATAAAAAATAAATGGATGTGAGCCAGCGAACAAACGCTGGGAAAAAGCGAGAGTCATAAACAAGTTAAAAAGAATATCAACCGTACAAGATGGAAAGTGAGGTAAATACTCAAGAGCAAGTATATGTGAGTAAAGAGACAAATGTGGGAAAACACGTTAGACTGTCAAGCAAGCGTAAGATCAGGATAGTTTAGAAGGCCAAACTGCCCTCTAATGGTCTTCAGGAGAACTACACCAAGGCGAAAGATTAGCGTGTAATACCAGATACTCAACAGTCAGGATTAATGAATCAGATTGCTGGTGTTCTTCAGTTTCTTGTTGACATCACCTACAGCGCACACGTTCCCGAGGATGGCGGATGAAACGAGCGAAGCTGCATGAATAATAATTGAGATCAGGGATGATAGTGGTTCGGGACCACATAGAAGCACATTTCGCAGACAGGGATCCTCGTAGCGGCTTATTTAACCAAGGCTGCGAAGGGAGGACCCACTGAGTTTTTTTCATTAATCTCCTTCTAATGGATAGGTTTTCGCTTCGCCTCGCTCTCTGCAGGCTGAGCTTTAAAAGGAGCCGTTTCGCTGGTGTTTTGTTTACGTGCGGCTGGGGCATTTGTTTCCTGTTGAAGAGGGAGTCTAAGTAGAGAGGGTCTTTCTTCAAGATGAAACTACCCCCTCGGCTACTGCCTACTGTTGATCTGCTGTTGCCGTGGAAACCTGGCCCCTCTCTCTTTCTGTTCCTCGCTCTCTCCCTCACCCACGCTCGCTCTCGCTCGCTTCGTTAAGCGCGGTGCTGCTGGCAATTAGAAGCAAAGCCAGCGGCGGGGACGGCTGCCTCTCAAATGTACTCTCCAATTAAACACTGTCAAATAATGGCGTATCTCAACCCGCCGCCTCCCGCCGTCCCCTCCTATCACACGACACATTCGCGCCTCTAAAAGAAAGATACTTACAATAGTGCCAAAATAAGCAGGCGCGTAGATCTATGGCGCACGGATTCACGGCCTTTCCCGTAATGATGCTAAAGGCGTCGTGTTTTTCCTGCAGGCGCTTAAAAAACTTGATTATTTTTTCATTCAGCAGAAAACGCATGTAGCTGCGAGCCTTAAAAAGGTTTTCTCCACGGTATTGATTGTGGATTTTTTTCAGGAAAGTGAGGTGTTTTACAGATCGCAGGCACTTAAGACTCATAGAAAATTGCTGGACTAAAGCCCTCTCATTTTCAGCTATTTGTACTGCTGTCCTACATATCGACTCTCATACACTATAGACGTAATTGGCGCATTAAAATCAATGGCGCAATTTAAACAGCATCATCATTAAAAAGGTTTATGTGCAAAGTCAATAAGCACAGTGGAGATGTTTGGGAACCGCGGGCACATGCAACATCGCACATCAAAACACACATGCACGACCATTTTTGTTTGCGCAAGGTGGGCTACTATACTCCTTTGTTGCCCAATTGTGTCAATAAAACGTCTCATTTAACACCCGATTA